AAAAAAAATTAGTTACCATCATTTTTATGTGCCTAACCTAAGACTCTACCTATATGGACTGTACCAGAGCAGGACCCAGTGTAACTTGCTTTTGACATAATCCCTCTGTCTCCGTGTCATGGTAGATGGCCTCAACTTCAACTGTGAGCCTTCACACAGTCCTAAAGGCAGTGTGAGCTCACACTGCAGATAAGTATCAACTGCCCTTGCAGCAGACTATGCCAAAGCCCTTCTGCAAAATAGTCCATGAATAATTTACCTCTTCAACATTAACCATGGGATATTGCTGCATGACAGCATTCCTGATCTAGCTACACAGTGTCTAAGTCTGTTCTTGGTCTGGAGGGCAAAGAGCCTTGTTATCCAAGCCTCAGCCCATGACTTCCAGTCTGGCAGCACAGTTTGGTTGCAACCTATCAGTATGAAGGCCTTAACTTTCATTTTCAGTGTGCCTCCAGGCTCACCTACAGTGAGACAGACCTTGCAACGTTCATTGAGGATGTGAGGGAATATGGAAGATTCAGTCCAGGCTTAAAATATGTTAATGTACCTCTGGAAAATGGCAGAATTAATAATTAACTTTGTTGTAAAGATAACGCTTTTTGTGAACATATTGTCACAAATCATTATAATAATAATAATAATAATAATGGCCAGTCTTCGCGAGCGAAGATTTGGGAAAGGTCATTAACCCTTCGAGCCTGTGCAGTGGATTTTTTAGGTGAGACACAGCGTGCGCTGAACTGAGCCCACCCTTTAATCCTGAGGTTCATCTGCCGGGGCCGAGCAAGCTTGGACAGTGGCAGTGAGGGTCTCAGGACGTAGGTTTGTTTAGAGTGACCTTCTCTTAGATGGATTGCCTTACAGGGCTGACGAGCTCCATCTGCCCGGGGGGCTGGGAATCGAACCCGGGTCGCAGTGGTGAGAGTCCTGCACCCTAACCACTAGACCACTAGAGGCCCCACAAATCAAAACCCAAAAAACCAAAAAACCAAAAAAAACCCAAAAAACAAACAAACAAAAAAAAAACTTACAAAGTATACATTATAGGGTATATAGCCATATCCTATACAGATAGGACAAATTAAATAAAAGCTTCTTCCTGTACACAGTCTGTTTTCCTAACTGGACAAACAGTGACTTTCAATCCAAGCATGAAGCAGATTATCTACAGTTAAATTAGTGGAAAGGAAAGCTGTGTCCCTCTGTCTTTGAATGCTAGCTAGGAAGATAAAACAGCTCCCTTCAGCTTAGTTCGAGTCTTCCTCGTCTGGTTACTCATTTCCTGCAACATACAACTCAGAATATGAATTAGTTTTTCCCCAAGGTTAAATCTCCTTGAGGTACACACTGGGTTTCTCCATCTTCTCTCATTATCCACCAGATATATCCTGGTCCTTGAGCAAAGACAATCCCACGAATGGGTTTGCCTTTGCTCGAGGGAGGGTTAACCCAAACTGCTTTACCTAACATACCTCTCAGGTGAGTTACTGGGACTTTGTCTCCATCCACAGTATGAAGGGACTCTGATTGGGCAGGGCCAGCTCAGCTGACGGAGCCTTTAGTGTTGACTAGCCATGTAGCCTTTGCTAGGTGCTGATCCCAATTTTTGAAAGTTCCCCCACCCAATGCCTTCAGAGTAGTTTTCAGCAATCCGTTACACCGTTCAACTTTTCCAGCAGCTGGTGCATGATATGGGATGTGATATACCCACTCAATGCCATGTTCACTTTCCCAAGTAGTAACTAAACTGTTTTTGAAATGAGTCCCATTGTCTGACTCAGTTAGCTCTGGGGTGCTGTGTCGCCAGAGTACTTGCTTTTCAAGACCCAGAATGATGTTTTGGGTAGTTGTGTGAGACACCAGAAAAGTCTCTAACCATCCAGTGGTTGCTTCCACCATGGTGAGCACATAGCGCTTACCTTGGCGGGTCTGTGGCAGCTCGTTTCTTTCTTTAATTTTTTGAAGCTTGGTGCTTCTTCCATTCTGTTTTGCAAATGGTTGCATTCCCTGTGAAAGTAAAACAGCTCCCCCAGTTGCAGTTGACAGACAAGCTAAAGGCTGGTCACGACTACTCTAGGAATAATACAGCAGTCCCTGTTAAACAGTCTGTATCAAAGCAGGAATCTTCAGTCATTCCTGGGGGAGGATTTGTTTTGGTAGTTGTTCAGGCAGACCTATGAAACAGAACCATGTGAACAGTTAACATGTATTAATTAGCACTGATTTTGAGACTTTTTTTTAGAGTTGAATAACAAAGTTTCTCCACTATCAAAACTCTGCATGTACACTCTCTTATAAAAGAAGACACAAGCAGCATTGAAGAAGTTGCTGAGGGATTGCATTAGCTAAACTGACATAGATGATGTTGCACCTGAGAAGGTTAGTAAAATTGTGCATCTAGGTAACTGGATGAATATAAAGCGTAGATGTATATTCAGGACATATGTCTAATATAGTTCTGTACAGAGTTCTATCTCCACAGTCCTTTGTTTGCACCAGAAGCTTGACAATAGTTTAATTGATTTCAAGTAATTTGACTGAACACCTGAAATCTCCTTCTGAAGGTTTACAATATCTTGATTGATTTACAGTATCTTATGTAAAAGTACATTAAATCTCTTACCAACTATTGTTGGTATTAGTAAACAATCTCCATATACCAACACATCATTTAAAGCTCTTCTGTACATAACAACTGACAGACCTAAACATATGGAAGTTAAAGGCACTCTAGGTGAGGGCACTCTCCAGTCATCTGCCCAGAAGCATGTGCACATCCCTGTTGACATACTGTCAAAATAGACACTAAACCACAATAGTCTCTAGGCCCATTTGGGGGATGCATACAGCCCATTAATCTCTTTTCCAAATTTTCCTGGTAACTACAGATCAAATAATTTTCCCTGGTAACAATTCACTATTCCCTGTAGTTTTACACTGGTACAATTAAGAACATTTTGCAACTCATGTCTGAACCGTTAAGTTGATCTCTCTCAGCTGTGGTGGCTTGAGAAGGCATAAAAAGCAGAAACACCCCACTTTTCTATCCCCCTGCCACTATATTTTGTCAAGAAAGTTAACGTTCCTGTCTTTGAATATATAGAAGGAGAATATTAATACCATAAGAAAAGCCAGTTTTCATGTAGCCACACATCAAGTGTTTGTTTCCCCCCTTTTTTATTCTAGGACTGCACTCTGACCTGTGTTACTTTTTATCTATTGTTCGTAACAGCTGAATTGCAGCTGGGTCCAGAGTCACCTAAGCAAGTGAGGGAGCAAAGGTGACTTTCCAATGTGATACAAAGCCCTTATATGGTGCCTCTACCCTTGTGGTGGCTGTGCAGCTCCCTTTCAGATCAGGCTTCAGCTGCTGTCAGCATTTTGCACTTCTGATAGATTCAGAAATTTTAAAGGAGGAACAAATATGTCTCCTGTGTGACCTTTTGTACAGAACTGCTCATAAAATGTCACCAAGATACTGAGTTAAGCATGTTTTCCATTTACTGATATCTCTTGTGGCACTGAATGAGGATTAGATTGACAAAGTGTGCTGACTCGTGGTTTCATAGAGCAATCCAGGAGAATGGATATATCTAAGAGAGCAGGCAACGCCTTTTCCTCATACTGGCAATAGTGAGATAGTAAATCAAGTTAATCATAAACAAAAACCAAACAAGTAGCAGAAAGCTTGTCAGGCTGGTATTTAGCCTTGCTGTGATGAACAGCAGTGCCTCTGACAGGTAATTTTTTTCTCATGTAGTCATTTTAAAGAGACATCCTTTGTTTGTGGGCAAGAATCTGTTGACCTAAAGGCTTTAAAAAAAAAGAAGTAAAATTTGTGCTAATGTATTAAATGTGTGTTTCTGGTTTCAGTGTTTCCTTCATTTTTGGGGGTAACTCAGTGAGCAGGGAACTGCCAATGGAACTTCCACATTTAACATGAAGCCTTTCATTTGTTTTCAAACTTGGTGCAAGATTATTGCTGCCCTTTAGAGGACTGCATTTATTATAGATATTTGGATTAAGTAGGTTGCCTGAAATGGACTGTGCATGTTGACATAGACCAAAGAGAAAATATCCCCAGCAAGCATTTTTTGTGTTAGACTAGACTAAACTAGACTAAATGAGACTAAGAGAATATTTTCCTTCGGATTCTGTAGTCTACATTGTGTTCCCTCTGACATTCAGAGCGCAAACCCAGTTAAGCAGGAACTGTTTGGGGCCTTTCTTATGTGCCAAGCTCAGTGGTGGCACTTTAAAACCAAAAGTGAATTGGTAACAATTGCCTATAATTAACTGGGTTATGAATTGCTTTAGTTAATTTTGCACAAGCTCATAGCCTGTATATAGTGGTGGTACTAATGCTAAAGAGAACTGGTTTTTATTTCCTAATATCAATCAGGTCCTATTGCAACTAAGAGCACTCAATGGGATGTTTATATATTTGATTAAGAGTGGAGTAAAGGAGGAGGAAATAATGTGATACAACAGTGAAGATGGAGATGTTATATGCAGCACTGACTCTTGACCTGGTTTGTACCAACTTTCAGAATTCTCCGAATGTTAGCAGAAGAATATGATATCCAGTTGAGAAGGCAAATCTGAGAAAAACCTCTTCTCTTCATGCAGTAAGGGCTGCTGTCTCTACAGCTGGATTGTAAATAAATGCCTCTATGTAGCCCTTTAGCAAATTTGATCAAAGGAAGTAAGGGGTGTTCGCTGTTTTTGGAGACATTACTTTCATCTCAACAGCATTTATGATGTCCATCTTAAAATGAGAGAAAAGGAAATTTATTCTACTTTATGCTGTTCTGTTGCCCTCTTTATAAGTAATCACCTTTAAATTTGTTTGTTGTTATTTGTTGATTAATGTTTGTACAATCTGGTGCGCTCTTTTACCACCCTTTTTTCCTATTGGTTCCTAGTTTCTGTTAGAGTTTGATTGGAAAATGCCAGCAATTTCAGCTGCAGTTTTACAAAGACAGAAGTTCAAAGCATGTGTGAAATATTTTTATTAATGCTGAAAGTTACTGTGGGAGGAATGAATAAGAAGTATCCAGTGGAATTATTTTTTTCAGGGAGACTTAAACTTTGGCATAATCAGTGGGCTGTGAAGAGAGATGGAAATCCTAGGGACACTGGCATTTTGTGAAGGCAAAATATATAACATGGAAAAGGCTGAAGATCATTAATTCCCATTGCAAATAATTATAATTCCATGCGAAAAACAAGAGAGGTATCAGACATTTTCCTCTTATAATCTTCATCAAATTTCTCATTCTGTGCCACAGTGAAATGATTCTTCCAGTCTGCAACAACCCCTAAGAAACAGCAAAGCAAAAAAAGAAAAATGATTAATTGACCAGTATTTCCTGAAGCCAATTATCCACAATTCACTAGATACTTGTACTTCAAGGTTCATTTCAAAACAGAATGAAAACCAAAAAGAGTTGATTTAAGTAACAAACCTCAGTACCTTTTCTCATGAATGGGGAAATGGAGTGATCCATTATTCCCTGAAAATCTTTAGTGTAGTTTGCCATGGGATTTTCCTTCATTACCTCAAATGAGGTATTATGGACTATCTTGTTTAGAACCTCCTGACTCAAGTCCTTCTCCAGGAACTTCGCAATCTTCTGAATTTCTTGCTTTGGATTCTGCAGAGACAATGATGTGGGATAAGATATAGAGCCAGGAAAAGAAAAGAAGTCAAACATAGTGGTAAAGCTGCAATTCTCAGACTGAAAAGATCAGGTTGTCATAAGGTTTACTGATACAGCTGGCATTATAATACAAAACTAGCTTGTAGGCAGTATCTACTAGACTTCTGGATTTCAGAGCTCTATAAACATGCCCTTTACCTCCTTCATATCTTCATAGAAGAGGTAGAGAATACGGTGCTTATCTTTGGCCTTCCACCATCCTTTTACATGGTCATACCAGGAACCCCAGAGCACTGAAAAAGAAGTAACATCAACAGCAGCTATAAATGCCCTAACTGTCTTTAACACATGTGGCATTCATGGTTCCCTTATGACCAATGCCTGGGAATTTACCATCTGGTTTTAAATTACTGTGACCGTGACTGCTGTGCTCTGTGCTTATCACAGCATTTGTGTTATTAATCCCTCTAGTGTATGGATGCTCAGAGCAGGATCCATGTGTAACTTTAGAGGGCAACAAATGCAGATTCTTACTCCTGAATGAAAAATCCAGGCTGTCTTTGCAGTCAGTGGAAAGAAACAGACATTTCCAGTGATTCATCTCATCAGCTGGACAAGGCTGGTCTTGACTGGCCCTGCTTTGAGCAGGGGTTTGGACCAGATGGACACTGAAAGTGCCTTCCAGCTTGTATTATTCTGTGATTCTAACTGGTTTAAATATTTGGTATTCTATCAGAAGTGCCTGTTTCTCTCCAGCAAGTATCAAGATGATCAGCTAGGACAGAGGTAGCTAATCAGTCTTCTAGATGTCTGCACTGGGACAGATGGCTCTCAAGCTGAGCTGGTCAAACACCAGACACAAGGTCTTCTTTAGACATGAAACTCTCATGCTGGTCCAGACAGTGTTATTTCTAGGCCTACATGGTGGCAAAAATATTAAGGACCTAAGGAAGTTTTAATGACCCAAACTGTAAACTGCGACTCACCTGACCAGGTTTTCTTTCTTGGATATTCTGTGATATGGGCATCTCTTTTAGAAAAGGAAGAATCAGCTTGCAAGGGGTTGCTTGCCCATAGTAAGATAACTGTCTTTTTTTCATATGCCCTATTTTTAGATAGATTAATTTATGTAAAAATACTTCCGTATCTAAAATTCCCACTGCACATTTCTAACAAAATTAACCCTTAGTTTCTTGTATATCATGTTAGAATAAACCCAATTAAACCGCTGTTCCTTTTCAGCTGGCTTATTTTAAAGTCAGAGAGAAGAGGTAAAGACTAAAAATCATCATATAGGTTTCTGAAAGATCACAGAATAAAGAGTAGTGGTTGGGTGTTTTTTTCCCCAAATGGGAGTGTAAAGATAGATTTAATAATCCTTTAGGTACTAATAAAAACCTGTGAATGAAGATAAATTATGACTGAAACGTCTTCAGTAGTTATCATTCCGCAGAGTGAAATCAGCACTAGATATCAATAGCTGAAATAAATAAATCATTGCAATGCATTTTTAAAATGAACAAAATCACTTATATAACTGATTTCAGTTCATCACCTTGTCCAGACATGAATTTCTCCACGAACTCCTCCCAGGTTCCTGGCTCAGGCAAAGCCTTGTTCATTCTGTGGAAGTGGTAGTATGACACCACATTGTCTTTTGCATTTCTTGCCACATAGATTATCTTTATTGATTTGAAAAGAGAGAGAGAGAAAAAAAATGAACTTGCACATGATTATATAGATATTGAGCATATCCTAAAGTTTTGTCTTGGACCCTGATGACAGTGTTTTAGGAGATATTGCTTTGAAGCTGGCATTTTCTGAAATCCAGCTCAGGTAACTTAGTCATGACTTCTTTAGATTTTCACAGACTTTGCACATTAAAGGGAAAATATCTGTGGGGACATTTAGGTTTTGTGGGCACTCTGGAAAATGTATTTTGTCCTAGTTTATGTCACTTTCTTTGCCCATGAAGTAGAGTTGAGTCCAACCTCCTCAGCCTTACCTTACAGTTTTGTTCCCAGATGGAGGGAGGCACCAGCTGCACAGGCAGATGAATTTTTATTGTTCTTGGAGATGGCATGGCATTAGCTAACTCTACACCTGTGGGATATTTAATTATGAGATATGAGTTGTTCTCTAAATTGCACTAGCAATTCTTTGTTATTCTCATACATGTGATTTTGACCATGATTTTTAGCAGTACATCTTGCACCAATCATTCATCTCCAAAGCAGTTACATAACAGTGTAACATAAGCAACTTTACATAAACATCTTCAGTGTTTCTAGGGAAGTTTTTGCCTATATATTCAAATTAAAAGGGGAAATACTAGTTCATATCTTCTTGCTTTCTTGGGCCCACATTCTAAGGGATAATGCATTCTAAGGGAGAATGATGAATACTGATTTATATTTACCCAGCCAAAGCTTTTCCTTTGCAATATTTAGTGATCTCCTCTCACTTGTACAGGTAAGAAATTTTTGCTCCTTTCTAGAATACAGGAATATGATTGGCTGACTAGACTTTCTGGATAGCATGTAAAGAGAAACTAGGGGAATGACTGGATTTTCAGTAGCTATGAATATAGTTCAGTAACAAAGCAATTGAGATCTTTCTCAGGAAACTTATCACATCAGCACCAAATGCTTGTTTTGTTTCATTTTGTCTAAAATACAAACTTATTTATATAATATTCACCTGAGTAACGTTCAGATGGAGGCTCTGCAACAAACCACTCAAGGAAAGGGTGGCGTTTGTAAGTCGTTTCACGTCTACATTTCTCGGTATCTCCATTTTCTTGAATCATATCCACTATCTCCTGTGTCCATGTGGTACCTGAAAATGTCAAGTGTTTAGATATTTCTCTCCAGGATAGCCAGGAGTCTCTTCTTCTAGGGAACTGAAAGCCAGAAGGATGGACTCTACATTAAAGGAGGAAGGAATAGCACAGAAGATAATGGACAAATTGGAAAGAGAGGATAATGGGGGAAAAATACCTAATTAGGAATACAAAGGTAATTCCCAAAGCAGAGTTTCAGGGATTCCATTTTACAACAGGCTTCTTCATGCCAAAAGAAATAGCTCCCAACCCCACACCAGTACTGAAAAAATGCTCTGGGATAAACTCACTATTATTTGGAGGTTGTATTATTTGCAGAGAGGAAATGAAACTCCCTCATTCCAATTTTCATACCTCACAAAAATTCAGGTATTTCAACTTTTGTTTTTATTCTAAATTTGAGTGGAAAAATGTAATAGCTGAACTTCAAGCGAGTAAAAATTTCATACAGTTTGAAAATATAAAACAGTGGTAGTATTTGCAAAGTTTCCGTTTGAACCACTTTAGTGAAGATCAGTACATAACACTTCATCTGCCTGCAAAATCTTGTGTTACAGTGTTGTGTATCTCATGCCTCTTTTCTTTTATAGCTGTGATCACTGTGTTAACCACATCTCCTCTGAGCTACCGTGGCAGGTCAGCTAGAGAACAGGCTAAGGTATAACTTGGAAAGCAATGTGGGCAGGAAATTCAGCTGTTGAGATGCTTGAATTGTGCATCTCAGGCAAATATGACATAACGTCAAATGGACTGCCAACTTTTTTTTCAGTTCAATGACTGAGAGGTTTTAATCCAGACTGGCTAAAATAACGTGGTTTTGTTTTCAGTATGCAGACAGTAAATTAAAAGCTTTCAGGTTCTACAAAACTAGCGGTGGGGGGTTTTTTGGTGTTTTTTCCCTTACTGAAAAAAAAATCAACAAAACCCATCCTTAAATATTGTTGTTAATTCTAGTAATTATTTTTTTATGATCATCAAGTGTTCCCATATCTGTTCCTGAATTTCCTAAACTGTACATGTTTTTATTCATGCGGGATTAATATTGATGCTTGTTATTCACTGTTTTTCTGTGTAGTAAGTATAAAGGGTCTGATGAAGGGGAGCAATAGTGGCCAGCCACTGAATAAAATGTCAGATAACTAATATTAATGGTGACTATTTAATTTTATTGGCTGAAATTATTAAGTGAATTCGGTTATTTCCTTAAAATAATTAATCTATTTTCAGAAACCACAGTTCGTTTACACACCAAGTAATTCCCCAAAAATTATTCATTCCATAATCATGTCAGTCAGTTTCTATTACTTCTTAGTAATGATGACATTTTTCTAGGCATTGTTAAATCATTACATATTGGTGGAAAACTTCCATTGTTGTCATTAATATAAATGTATGTAATTAAAGGAAACATTTAAGTATAGGTCATTCGACTTTGGCCATCTGTACTTCAGTAGTAACAGATTGTTGTTATTTCTGCCAAAGAAGTCAGAAGTTACTAGTCACAGGTGACAAGGCTTCGTGTCTTTAAAATGTGTCTGGTTTGGAATTATACAAATATCAGTCACAACAGAAAAAAAACAGTTTTCAATTTCAACAATAAACGTTATCCCAAACTTTTCTATTCTCTTTCCTACATGCACCAACCTGCTTTTGCATAGGTTGCAATGAACACATCGTCAGGTCTGGCTTTGAACTTTTGTACTTGATCCCATGTGATGCCCATTGGTTTTGTGAGGGGAACACCCTCTATGTCAAATAACTCACTCCGGGTAATTGTGTCTTTCAGACTCAAATCTTTCATTTTATCCACGACTGTTGAGCACTGCATGAAGAAAGAAAGGCTTGGAATTAACATGGTTGCTCTGAAAAAAACCCTAAATTTACTCATCCATTCTTGAGGTCTCTCTTGTTGACTGAATTCCATGTCCTCTGATTTCTTTGGCCATGATTTGGCCTATCTGGATTCATATATAGACTCCTTAAAGCTGGATCTCATTTTCAGAAATGCTTGGTATATTACTGATAGTTCTCCGTGTCTCTAAAAATCACTCTGTTTACTCAGATACAAAAAAATTAAAAAGCCATTATTCCCATACCAAACATATTTATGTAAAATTGTGACTGTAGATATGAAGCCTTTGAAAGGCAAGAAAAAGAGGTGTGATTCAAAAGAAAGCAGAGCATAACATTTGGCAATGAAATCAGCATACAGGACCCAACCCTTCCTCTGCAGAGAAAATAAATAGAAATTCCTATTAACACCCTTTGTGCTTCATACTCACGAAAATATTTACAGACCTTTTCTGTCTTTTGTTCCTGGATCTTTTCACTCCCGGAATTCTCTGCTGTATTTTGAAGTTTATTGCATATAAATAACCTGAAATAAATAGATCATTAACTAAAGGTTGTTAGGCTTTAATTACTTAAATCAATCTGTTTTAGAGTAACTAGTTAGTCATTTTTGAATTTCTTTTAAGGAGGCCCCTTCTTAGCCATAACTTTGAGAGCTCCAAATCTGGTCAGAGGAAAGCTCTGCTTAAGTGGGGGGGGGCTATAGAACTAATCTAAATTAAAAATATCAGCCAGAAAAGAGAAACGACATTTCCATCCTAATCGCAAACATTGCTAGACTATTTCCTTTCATTTTCTTGATACTCACAGCAATTTCACAGAGATTGAGTTGAGCAAAGCAAGATGTTTGATTGGTGGCTGGGCAATGAAACAAGAAATTAAAGAAAAAAAAGGAAGAAACTTGGCAGAGAATTTTTTCTGCTTAAATGTCTTCAGTCCTTGGCTGTATGGACAACTACACAGCAAGTTACATCTTCAGGTATAAGTAGGACGAAAGCTTGGGTGGGTGGAGATTCCATTGTTCCTATCAGTGTGAGGAGAGTGAAGGAGGAAGTGCAGCAGCAGCCAATAGCTGAGCAGTTTTTCTGGAGTGAAATCCTTTTTTGTGAAATCCTTTCTAATCCTGTGAAAGAAAAATACTTTGAATTCTCATCTAAAGTATAATTCATTACTGGCAACAACATTAAATACTGGTCAGTAGCTCCAGCAAGATTATTTTAATTCATCTCTGTCATTGTCAACAGTCTTGGAATAATTAATTTTTTTCCTAATATCTAACTAAATTGCAAAAGTCACATGTGCACAAGCAAAGGAAAAAAATCCCAAAAGATTTTATTCTGTACTTCCCACTAGCAGGTGATGTCCAGCCACTGCCCAGGAAGCAGGGGTTCAGCCCACACAGGAGTTGCTCTATGTAAGCCCACTGCACTCATAATTACTAGCATTGTGAGGGCTTTTAAGGGGAAATTATCTCCATCTTGTGGATGTGGCATTCGCTACTTCTCTGGACAATCTGTTCTATCCGGTGTCTCACCACCCTCACAGTAAAGAATTTCTTCCTAACAACTAATGTAAACCTGCTCTCTTTCAGTTGGAAACCATTCCCCCTTGTCCTGCCACTACATGCCCTTGTAAGAAGACCCTCTCCATGTTTCTTGTAGGCTCCCTTCAGGTACTGGAAGGCCACAATTAGGTCACCTCAAAGCCTTCTCTTCTCCAGGTTGAATAATCCCAATTCTCTCAGTCTTTCCTTACAGGAAAAGTGCTCCATCTCTCCATCTTTGTGGCCCTCCTCTGGACTTGCTCCACTAGGCTGATGTCCTTCCAGTCCTGGAGCCCCCAGAGCTGGAAACAGTACTTCGGGTGAGGTCTCACCAGAGCAGAGGGGCAGATTCACCTCACTCGATCTGCTGGCCGCACTGCTTTTGATGCAGCCCAGAATACAGTTGGTTTTCTGGGCTGCAAGTGCACATTGCCAGCTCATCTCCTGCCTCTCATCCACCCCCACCCCCAAATCCTTCTGGGCAGAGTTGGTCTTGATCTGTTCATCCCCCGACCTGTATTGATACTGGGAGTTTCCCTGGCCCACGTGCAGCACCTTGCACTTGGTTCTGTTAAACCTCATGAGATTCTCATGGGGCCAGTTCTTGAGCCTGTCTGGGTCCCTCTAGATGGCATCCTGTCTTTCAAGTGTGACAACTGTACCACTCAGCTTGGTGCCATCTGCAAACTTGCTGAGGGTGCACTCGATCCCTTTGTCAATGTCATTAATGAAGATTATTAAATAACACTTGTCCCAGTACAGATCCCTTGCCACTGCTGTCCATCAGGATTCTGAGCCATTGATCACTACCCTCTGGATCAGACCATCCAACCAATTTCTTTACCATCTAACAGTCCACCCACCAAATCCATCTCTCTCCAATTTAGAGAGAAGGATGTTGTGGGGGACTATATCAAAGGCTTTACAGAAGTCTAGATAAATATTGTCTGTAACACTTCCCTTGTCCCCTGACATATTCACTCCATCATAGAAGGCCATTAGGTTTGGTCAGGCAGGACTTGCCCTGTTTGAAGCTATGCTGGTTGTCCTGAATCACCTCTCTGTCTTCCATGTGCCTTAGCATTGCTTCTAGGAGAATCTGTTCCATGGTCTTTCCAGGCACAGAGGTGAGGCTGACAGGTCAGTAGTTCCCAGGGTCCTGCTTTCTACGCTTTTTTAAAGATGGGTACAATTTTTCCTTTTTTTCCAGTCACCTGGGACTTCACGTGACTGCCATGACTTTTCAAATATCATGGAGACTGTCTTGGCAACTACATCAGTCAAGGAGATTTTACTCTCTACTTCCCATCAACAGGTGATGTCCGGCCACTTCTCAGGAAGCAGGGCTTCAGCACACATAGTGGTTATTCCAAAAGGTAAATGTTGTATATCATGATTGCCCTTCTTCCTTCTCCTTCCTCTTAGCTTTTATTGCTGAGAAGGGGTCTTGTGGTATGAAATATGCCTTTGGTCTTTGGTCAACCACTTGATCTTTTTCTGGCTCTGACATGAGGTTTTTCTTCTGAAGGATGACACCACCAGAGAATATATGGTTAAGGTTTAATATTTTTCTTTCTACTTTCAAGTTCTGTCATGGGAAGATTTGCCATTTTCCTCTCTGTGCTAAACCCGTTCTGGTTCTATTTGTTTTTCTCATACCTGCACCTGGCAGTTCATTTGCTGGTTTGTAATGTTATTCACCACCCTTTCAGTTATGCAACCATGTTGATAATGCAGTAATCCCCAAAGCATATCAGCTGGTATGAACAAAGAAAACCCAAGGACTGCTTATTGAGTGACTCTTTTATTGCAGCTGTGAATCTGAGTAGCCTTTGAACAGTGCACTCTGCCAGATAAGCTACGGTGAGGTCAAAACCCGCAGGGAGATGAGAATTAAACTCACTGGGCCAGGGACTGGATTTCTGGTCTGGGATTATGATTTACAGGGCTCCTTTAAAAAAAGACCAGGCACTCTCTGCAGAAAGCTTCTTCCAGGTTTCCATTAACCTTTTCCTGAGTGCAAACTGCTGGCAGGTATTTCCTCATGTAAAACACACCATGTTTATTTAATTTTATTTTATTATTTGATTTGATTTTAGCGTTGCTGTGTTTCGTTACTTGCACAGGATCAGGCTTGAAATGGGATGAAGGTTACAAATCCTACATCAGTATCAAGCCCTATGATATGATTTTAAGTCTGATTTTCATCAGATTTTGCCTATATTTACCTGTCTTGATAATATAGAATACTATGTCTTATAAATTAAACTCTATATTAAAAGCTATATCTGATACATTTGAGTGAATTTTTTTCCTTGTTATGCTTAATGTTTATATTACATTTCTTTAAAACTCTAATCTCCCTCTGCTGGACAAAACACAGTCTTTATTCCAAAAGATGTTAAAATATTTTGAATTTAGCATTACGTTTTAAAGCTATTGAAATCCTTAGATACTAACCTGTATTCTTCATTCAGAAAAATGTGTACTTTGGAGAAATGAAAAGGCTCTCTGGAAAGACCTAGGTTTCACTTTGAGGCTTCTTGAATTTTAAAGCTGCATTCATCTCTTTGTGAGTGATTTAAGCTTGACCTGACTATGAGTCAGTGAGCAACTTTAAGCAGCGAAAGCTTTTTGTGCTGTGGGATGCATCTGGAGTTATCACAAACCATGTCCTATCATAGACTCATGGCTGTTACAGCCCATATGCTGTTGAGAACAATCCTGCAACAGTACTACCAGTCTTGTGATGGTTATTTAATGAATGTCTGGGTTGCAGCCAGGTACAGGTGAGATAATTGTCACAGATATACTTATGTAATAGCAAAGTAAGTACTAAGGAAATGTTAAGTGTAAACACGGAATGAAAAGTCCTAAGGATTTAAATCAGCGACACATTTAAGCACAGTCGCTATCAGTAAAGCACTTACATTCCATTACCATCACACTTAGGAAATTTCTTTGCTTTAAGTATCCTCGCTCCAGCAGAGTTTCCTACTAGAGGAAGTGCTGGAGCCCCCAGTGTGTATAACTCTGACCAGCTCTGTATGTGTTGGGGTCACATTCATATTAATATATAATCTTGTTATGGTAGGCATGCATAGTCAGGTGAAGAAGTTTAATTGAAATCCTGCAGCTTTTTCTAAATACTTTTCCCAAGAAAATATGCATATAAAGTGCTGCAGAGTCACCCTATCAGTGGCACTGCATGCTTTTGGCATTGTTTCTGGAAATTCTTTTGTAGAAATAAAAGATCAGGTATTCACTATGCAGAATAACATAATACGTTCCCACTTGTAAATGAGATTTGGTTTAGAACCAGGGGAAGGAAAACAGAACTTTTTAATAAACATTTACAGAGCTTAGTGCCCTTTGTATATAATAAATGATGGAGTGTACTTTAAAACATTAATTCACATGACAATACCTGATTCAGTTGGCTGCAGACTCCTCTTTGCTAGCAAGCTCAGTGTGGACAATACTAGTGCAGGCAGCATTACTCGACAGAGATGAGGTAGAAGCTGTTCATGTTCTCAAGCTTAAACTTGAACATCAGTGTGACAAAAGTCTACCTTAGAGAACTTGGGAGCACTGCTTAGTTTTAGGTGCTTGGCACAGCTGTGTCCTTGTTTCTTCCCAAAGGAAACCACAGAATTTGTGCCAGATGCTTTGTGGGACTGCTGCCCCAATGCTTAGTTCATGCTGATGAGCAACCAGAGGTGAAGACAGAAGTGGACTAAGAGCAAATGTAACTGAAGAGCCTGTAGATTGCAGGTGAAGGGTATGTGTCCAAGTTTTCAGGCATGCATGCATTGATGAACAAGTGCTAACTGAGTACCTATGGTCCTTTTCCTCAGAGCACCACTAAGTTGAGATATAATTTGTTTTCTCCATCCTTTCCTATCACCCTGCAACTGCCAAATTACAGCAGGAAAGAAATGCTTTTAAAATATGCACTACAAAAATAATACACGTTGTCCACAGCTCTGTGTTGATTTCTTTGTATCAACAGCTGACCCTTATTCTTAAAGCTGGATCCAAGATTCTAGTTCTCCTAAACAGAGTAAGTTGTCATGTGTTGCATTTAAGGATCCACATGCAAGCTTCATGCCACAGTAATAGTGGTGGTTGTTTTAGCAACTGTCTTGATGAACTGATGTAAAAATATTTCCATTCAAGCCAAACATCTGCTTTGTAGCACAGCTTCTTGTGGATACCTCCACTTGCATTAAGTGAAGTTATTCAACAGGCTATTTGCATGATCTCTTTATTGACCCTTCTTTAAGGATGTGATCAAA